TCTGGAAATAAATAAATGGTTAATGTTGGATTAATTAGGAAGAGTTAAGAGATGTCAATTGAGACTATCAAATCATCTAAGTCTGAATACTAACCAAAACCTCCCCATAGCATTTACAATATGAGAACAACTCCTATGCCTACGACTTTTGGTTTTCCTTAGAATAGTGCGGTGATGGGATATAATGTCTGCTGACTGCTTGGAATAATGGTGTCTACCAACCTCAACTTGCCTAACTCTGTAAAACGCCAAAATAAAAATAAAAAGCGCCTAGGTGGTTACCATCTAGTAGGCTCGATATCAGTTATGAAATCGTGTACTATCACCATGAACAAAGAGCATGAAGTACACAACCTCGACAAGCAAAGTATAATTATGTGATTAATATTATATACGGGGGTATCTAAACACGTAGTCGCTCTCCCACACTCCACCCCCTTCCCTTCAAGTTCCATCAGCTATTCCTCAGCACATCCCCCAGCGCCCTCAGCTTCTCCCGGGCCGTCAGCGCATACCCCAGGCCCACGACGCCCCTCGTGAAGCGCCAGGCGCTCTCCTGGCTCTTGATAGGGTACCGCGCGGGCGGCGGGATGGCCGTCCGAATCCCCAGCCACGCGAGGCGGTCCTCGCACACGCTCTTCAGATTGCACAACCCCCTCAACCCCTCCTCGCCGGCGAAGCGGCCGTACCCGGACCCGCCGACGCCGCCGAACGGCAGCTGCACGGCGTAGAAGACGGCGAAGTCGTTGACGGCGACGCCGCCCGCGCGGATCCCGCGCACCACGTCGCGCAGGACGGGGTCGGCGTCGCGCCCGTAGACGGAGGCGCCGAGGCCGAAGGCCGGCGCGTTGGCGAGGGCGAGCAGCGCGGGCGCGGAGGGCGCGGGCGATCGCAGGACCGTCATGACGGGCCCGAAGCACTCCTCGTGGGCGATGGCCATGGCGGGCGTGACGTCGACGAGCAGCGTGGGGGCGAAGTAGAAGCCGCGGGGGTGGTCGGGGTGGGCGAAGCGCGCGCCGCCGGCGAGGAGGCGCGCGCCCCGGGCCACGGCGTCGGCGACGAGGGCCTCGAGGCGCGCGAACGAGGCGTCGGAGACCATGGCGCCGACGTCCCGGTCGAGGCCGAGGCGCAGGGCGGCGACGCGGGGTTCCAGCATGGCCACGAGCTGGTCGTAGACACCCGGGCCGGCGACGACGCGCTCGATGCCGATGCAGTTCTGGCCCGAGGCCTGGAAGGTGCCGCGCATGAGGATGTGCACGATGCGGGGGAGGTCGCGCTCGGCCGAGTCGAGGATAACCGCCGCGTCCTTGCCGCCGAGCTCGGCGACGACGGGGATCAGGCTCTTGGCGGCGCTGGCGGCGACGTGGTGGCACACGGGCCGGCTGCCGATGAAGGTCAGGTGGCTGATACCCGGATGGCTCGTCAGGTGCGCTGCGGTCTGCGGCCAGCACACGACGCTCTGGACTAGCAGGGGGTCGTGGCCGTGGGCGACCAGCGCGCCCCTCGCGATGCTCGTGTAGTAGGCGGCGCTCCAGCACGTCTGCTCGCTGACCTTGACCACGACGCCGTTGCCCGCGAAGATGGAACTGATGATCGGCCCGATCAGGTTATGGAAGGGGTAGTTCCAGCTGACCAGCGCGGCCACGACGCCCAGGGGCTCGTAGTGCACCGTGTTCTTCTTGTAGCTCAGGAGCAGGTTCGTGGGGCGTCTGCTGGGACGCAGGGCCGCCTCGCCGTGCTTGATGGTCCACTGCAGCTTCTCGGCCGTGACCATGATCTCGCCCAGCTGTGCGTCGACCATGGTCTTGCCCGAGTCTAGCGAGCTGACCTCGCATATTTGTTGTTGGTTGTCCATGACGTACTGCAGCATGGTGCGCAGAACCGCGCGCCGCTCGGCGAATGTTGTCTTGGCCCATTTCTCCTGCGCGGCGGCTGCTTGGGCGATGGCGCGGTCGATGCCGGCTGGTGTGGACGGGTTCACGAAGCCGAGGAACTGGCCGGTGGCGGGGTTGTAGCATTGGATCGCTGTCGTGCCGGGGACCTTGATAGTTGGGTTCTCGAGGATTTTGACCTCGTCGGGTTTCTTAGGGGGTGGGACGGTGTAGCGTTTTGGTTTGTCCCAGTAGTCCGTATGCGTGTAGTATAGGAGGATGCTGCCGACCACGATGCAGATCAGGGGGTACGCGAGGTATAGGATGTCATTGAGCCTGTATATGAGATATTGTAAGGTAATTGGTTATATGGTGGTGTAAAATGGTAGCTTAGAAACTTACGGGAAATCTCGCATCAAGTCGCTGAACTTATCAAGCCAAGCTACGAGATCTTCGACTGCCATTTTGGCTGTGGTGTTCTCTAGACCACTGCGTTCTATTGAGCTTGTTCTCGTTCGTGCAGTGGTTCTGAGTAAACAAAAGCATCACTCGGTTTATTCGCAACCCAGCTTTGGGAGTTTTACCATGATCCCGGAGGATGGCGTTGTTCAATGGCAGAAGGTGATCGTACCACCGATGCTACGAAAGAATGGAGCTTCATTTTATACGTTATCGATAATCTTTTGTTATCGATACATGGTCTAAATTTCAACTCTTACTGAGGTAGATAAGTGGGTCACATGACAGTATAACCCCACGTTGAGTTTCTGTAGCTCCCATTGAGTCATCCCTCATTATTTTTTTCCAGTCCAGTACTTACGCGGGGCAATTCCTCCCACCATCCCACCATCCCACCAAGAAATGCTGCGTGCGCTTTGCAGAGGAAACAGGCTAATAAATCCAACCTCTTTCCGACCAACTTTCCTCTTTACCAGAACCTTTTTTACTTCTCCCAGTAAATCGTATCAGTCGCTTACCCACGAATCTTCATCGTCTGGCGACATTGACAACATGGCTTCCAAGGAGGCCAAGATGTCCCTAAAGGCGCCCAAGGGAACCCGTGACTGGTCGGGCCCCGATATGCTCCTAAGAGACCACGTCTTCGAGACTATCAGCAACGTCTTCAAGCTGCACGGCGGCACCCCCCTCGATACACCCGTTTTCGAGCTAAGGGACATATTATCGGGGAAATACGGCGAGGATCAAAAGCTCATCTACAACCTCGAAGACCAAGGCGGCGAGCTATGCGCCCTTCGCTACGACCTCACCGTCCCCTTCGCCCGATGGCTCGCCATGAATAATGTCCAGCAGATCAAGCGCTACCAGATCGCCAAGGTCTACCGTCGCGATCAACCTGCCATCGCCCGCGGCCGCATGCGCGAGTTCTACCAGTGCGACTTCGACATCGCGGGCCAGTACGATCCCATGATTCCCGACGCCGAAATATTGCGCGTCATCTGCGAAACCTTCCAAGCCCTCGACCAGGAGATCGTCATAAAGCTCAACCACCGCAAGATCCTAGACGGCTTATTCGCTGTTGCGGGTGTCCCTGCCGACAAGCTACGCCCCATCAGCTCGGCAGTAGATAAGTTGGATAAGGAACCCTGGGATGTTGTCAAGAAGGAGATGGTGGAGCAGAAGGGTCTACCCGAGGAAGTCGCCGACAAGATTGGTCAGATCGTTTTAAACAAGGGCACCATAGACGAGATGATACAGTTCATTCGATCCGATGAGGGCCTCGCAGCCAACGACGAGATAAAAGCAGGATTAAGCGATATGGATCTCCTAGCCGCCTACTCAAAAGAATTCGACGTGTTCGACAAGGTATCCTTCGACCTGTCACTTGCGCGGGGCCTAGATTACTACACAGGAGTCATATACGAAGTCATTCAAAAACCAACAAGCAATAAGGAAGAGTCGCGGTATCCCGGCAAGCCAACCAAGACCAAAGAGGAGACCAGCGCAGGCGTAGGCAGCATCGCAGCAGGCGGCCGCTACGACAACCTCGTCGGCATGTACGGCAAGAAGCAGATCCCCTGCGTCGGCATCTCCTTCGGCGTCGACCGCATCTTCACCATCCTCAAGGCGCGCCAGGCCGACAAAGCGAGCCGCGCGCGCCAGGTCGATGTCTTCGTCATGGCCTTCGGCGGCAAGGAGTTCGACGGCCTGCTGCTGCCGCGCATGTCCGTCGCCCGCCAGCTGTGGGAGGCCGGCATCCGCGCCGAGTTCAGCCAGAAGGTCAAGCCCCGCCTGCCGCAGCAGTTCAAGGCCGCCGACGACGTGCCGCTCGCCGTCATCCTAGGCCAGGACGAGCTCGCCGACGGCAAGGTGCGCATCAAGGTTCTGGGCGCCGGCAAGGGGGGCGACGAGAAGGACAAGGACGACAAGGACCAGGGGCTGCTGGTTTCGCGAGAGGATCTCGTGGCCGAGGTGAAGAAGTTGCTGCAGACGAGCACGCTGCCGATAAGGTAGATACTATTTAACTCTTCCGAGAAGAAAGAAAAAACGAAGAAACGATGCCGAACCGAAAGTGGCCCCTATTCGACTTGATTTGGAGCGGTAACCGGAGAATACGGCTCTAAGGGGGGATATATCACAAAAGGTTACCCCGGCCTCGGTTGAGAGAGCCAGGTCTGAACCACGCCTGAAGGGAGCATCATAAAGTCTACAGGTATTGAGAGCTCCGTTGTGGTGTAGCCATAGCTCGCCATGAAAAAAACATTCGATTACTGGTAACTTGATTGATACTAGAATTGCTCTTGTGAATGCCCGGTAAGATGACCTCCAAGCAAATCAGTAAGCATCTCACCGTCCATTACTTGAGACTTATACTATGTTACTATCCATCGCATTTGAAATAGCTCATTTAGACGTGTGATATATCCAAGTAAACTGAAGCACTCGGTTCGACCACACAGGTTGCCTTGTAAGTTAATCGGTGTGGATCGAGAGCGAATGACCATTATGGGAGGTGCTGCAAGGGAAAAAGGGGCGGCGAGGTGTGTATACCTATACACCGCCTCGTCTCATCACAATCCACCACACACCCTACCCCAACAATAGGCATCCGGTATTTGCAAGCAAACAGCATTATTGGCTTCCAGCCAAGAACGCTTACCCAAGATACAAAGCTTCATGGCGCAGTGGAAGCGCGCCGGGCTTGCACAGGACCCGGAGGTCCTCCGATCGAAACGGAGCGGAGCTACGTAACATTTTTTGTTCGAATACTTTTTCTAAGAGACTATGGGGGAGGGTTTGCTAAGTCTCGTTGATTGAAGCAATTGATTCATTTCCGTAAGTTGCCTGCCTGGTAAGTTGGTCGGCAAGCTAAAGTGACTTCTACCTAGCAACCAGGCGGTGATAATCGTGGGAGTTCTCTAATCACCTGTATTTCAGGGGTGGTGCACACAATTATTATAGGGGATTGACAAACATCACGATCGATATTGGACCAAACCCGAGTCATTGATAATTCCTTCATCGTCTCATTAAGCTAAGCCTAGCTCGCATAATCCCCTTTAAACCAGCAGCGATGCCCTTCTCTTCCTTGCCGTTTCCTTGCCGATTCCTTTTTTTATAGCAGACTCCCTTATGTCCCTTCCTGCCTAGGTACCAACCTATGTACCTGCGTCCGTCCTCTCAAAACTCCCTAAAACGCACTACTAGTAAGTAGAATTGTTCTTGACCATCACCCAAGGCGTGATGCAGATGTTTCCATAGAACCGTCGTAGGGAAAAGTGGGCGTTATTCTCGTTATACACACTACCGCAAACACGACAAGAACCCAAGCAAACAGAGGCAAATACGATGCTGCAAGTCGGGACCAACCCCCCAAAACACACCTAGGTACCTTACTAAGCAGCCGAAGCGACAACCCTCTTCTGGATCCTGACCAGACTGCCAAAGTCCATCGCCTTGGGGTCCTCGGCCGGGGGCATGTGCTCGCCCGACGCGATGCACAGCACGCGCATGCGCTCGTCGTACCGCAGGCCCGTGAGCAGCTTGGGGGTGATGAGGAAGTACTGGCTGGTGTGCTCGCGGCAGGCGATCTCGACCATGCGCTCGTGCACCATGCGCTCGTTCCGCGGGTCCATGCCCTGGTTGATCTCGTCCACGACGCGGAACGGCGCCTGCGCCATGCTCTGCAGCGCCATGAGATAAAAGATGGTCGACACGGCGCGCTCGCCGCCCGACTGCCGGTGCTGGTTCAGCTGCTGCAGCGTCTCGTTCTCCCGGAACTTGACCTTGATCTCGATGGCCCACTGCTCGAAGTCGTCGTCCTTGTGGATGCCCACCTCGCCCGCGCAGTTGATCTGCTCGAAGTTGTAGCTGAACGCCTCGTTGATCTTGGCGATCAGGTCGTCCACGCGCGTCTCCCACTGCTCCATCACGTGCGTGATCTTCTTGTTGTACGACTCGAGCCTAGCGTTCATTTCCTCGCGCTTCTTGGAGAGCTCCTGGATGTCCTGCGCGCGCTTCTCGTACTGGCGCAGGATGGCGGGGTCGACGCCGTGGATGAGCTCGAGCTTCGTAGACTCGGCGCCGATCTCGTTGTCGACATCTTCGGGGGTCTTATCCTTCGCTAGCGAGCCCAGGTAGTCAAGCCGGTCGCGGCCTCCCGGTCCGGCGACCTCTTCCACTCTCTGCCTGGCCGCGAGCCCCTCACGTCTGAGCTGCTCTGCCTCGTTTTTGAATCGATCGGCCTCGGCCTTTACCTCGTCGAGTTGCTGTCTAATATCGAGGTTTTGTTGTTCTAGCCCCATCTCGTCAGACTGTGCCTCGACGAGGCGGATCTGGACGTCTAGCAATGCATTATGGGCGTCGCGAATGTGAGAGAGCTGTTCCGAATGCTTTAGGACAGACCTCGTCTTCTCGAGGAGGAGCTCGTCTCCCTGGGCATTGTATTCGAGTATTCTCGTCCGAGATTCCCCAAGCGCATTTTGTGCGATTTCGACGGCCTTTTGTTCATTCGCTGTAGCTTGTTAGCTTGAAAGCTCAACTCCTTAGGAAATACTAGGTACTTACCAATTTTATCTCCGAGCGTTGCGTACTGGGTAGCAGCTTTCTGCAACTCGTTCTTTTCGTTTTTCAAGGCATTCTTCAAAATAGTTAGAAATGTAAATAAGTAGGCCCACAAGCATGAGCACTCACTATTTCTTCCTGGATGGGCGTATCGGCATCTTCTAGTTCTCTCAAACGACCCCTAAACTCTTGACCCTGTTTCCTAATCTCATCGATTTCGGCCTCTACTTCGTTGATCCGTTGTCGCAATGCAGTTCTCTCGGAGTGATCGATGGGCTGATTCGTCCAGAAGCTGCCGGGTCTAATCTTCCTAGTAGTGGTTGAGACTGCACCGTCGCCATATTCCCTACGCCTTGTGATGCGATACATGACGGGGCCGGCGGCCCAGCTGGTTATCCTTTCGCAGTTTGTTAGCTGATCGAATTGGTTGTTACTAATATCTTGAAGAGCAACCCCGGAAACGTGCAGTCTTTTCTCGGAGCAAAGCATGGCAAGAACTGGCTCCGGTCCCTCCAAGTGTTCGATGGCATAGGCATCAAGGCCCATTTGGCGAATTTGTTCCTTGGGAATAGGTGGACGAAAGGACGCAAAGTCGCTCCCGCACGTTCTAATTGAAACCGAAATGCCCAATTGCTTAAAAAATTGAGTGCTTAGTTTCTTGTGGTCGTTTCGAGTCTGACAAGTGAAGCAGAAAAAATCGTCGCCCGACAGAAGGGACTGGACTTGGTTCGAGTACCGTTGGTCCGCGATAGAGCAGGTGAGCATTGGTGGACCAAATACTTCCTTTTCGAATTCATCTCGATGTTCCTGAAGCCATTCCCAACCCTTGGCCGCATCTGGATTGCGTTTTCTCAGGTGAACAAGCTTCTGGCCCTCTTGGGAATCCAGCTCTTCCAAATCTCGTTCGTACTTGTCCTTCTCGCCTTTCTTCCTCGAATTGGTCTCCCTCAGCTCGTCAAATTGCCCGCGAATTCTACGCCTTTCTGCCTCGTTCTCACGCAATGTATCTTCTTTTTGGCGCTGAGATTACACATGTTAGCAACGTGTGGTTGTAAGACTGGGATCAATACAACTCACAATCTTGACATTCCAATCGCGAGCAACAAATTCGGGGGGCTTGTTCTGCAATTTGGCTTCGAGGTCGGTAATTGTTCTGCGTATCCTTCCGATATCAGTCCTTTTGGCGTTGAAGGAATTGTGCTCTGCGCTCGTCTTATTTTGAACATGCTTTATCTTTTCGTCTTGAGCCTCGATGGTCTGCAAAAGTCGGTCGCCTGCTGCCTCGACATTCTTCAGTGCATTTTTGCGGACTTCAACAACGGCTTCGATCTTTTGTCGGTACTGTTGCTTTCGATTGACCGCCTCGAAGGCAGGCCCACAGGCTTCTTCCAGTTCCTTCAGTCTCTTCACAGACTCTTGCTTTCTTCGCTTCGCTTCGGTCATCCTATTACGGACGGTGCTGTATTCGGCAAGGGCACGGGCACTCTGGAGATCCTTAATTTTCTCCTGGATTGCTTCTCTTTCGCGAAGCCTATCCACATCGGCTTGCGATCCCTGCTGGCGTGATTCGTGGCCCCTTAGGATATCCGCAGTCGTGTCAAGTTTGACCTTCATGTCTTTGTGCTTCTTATGAAGCTCCTTGAGCTGGTTGTGCCACTCAATCATGCGTTCGGGAGCCGCTGCTCGTAGGGTTTCGTGGAGAAGTTGTACGGGAGTAAGACCGGCGAACTCGGCCACCCGATCCTGGGGGAGAAATTGGCATAGATTGTCTATCTGAATGTGCAACTCGTTTACGAGACCCTTGACGGCTTGGTGTGAGCTCTCCTTCTTATTTAGCCACCACTTCGATTTATTATCTTCTTTGCGGATTTGCAGACGGATTACGTGGTTGGCTCGATCGTCCGGTCGACCCTGCAGTTCGATCTCAACCGTAGCTGTCTCTTTTCCGTGTTTCACGAATTCTCCTACGCTACCGGCTCGACCGAGATGCTTCGGATGATAACCCAGGCCTAGACAGATAGCACAGACTAAGGAACTCTTGCCTGTACCGTTTGGGCCAATGACCATGTTGAGATTCGGACCGGGTTTAAACTCGGCATGTTCGTACGTAACGAAATTTTCGACTAGAACTCGTACGATGGCACCTGGCTGAAATTCCCCTGTACTTCGCGATGGTGAGTTCTTGATTCGTTTGTCTCTTGAAGTGCTGCTGTCGCCCTGATCATCTTCGTCTTCTTCGGATACTGCGCCATTGGTAGTACGCCTTCGTCGTTTTGGCGCATCGGACCCAGAGGACTGCTCTTCATTTTCTTCCTCAAATCGGGCCCTCGACCGACGACGGGGCTCTAGAGACGGCATGGCCGACTAGGTAAAAGACTAAAGTAGTTGTTAATCGAAAACCTGATGAATGCTGGATGAATATTGTGTGCGAATACTGTGTGAGGTTTCAGAGAGGTTATTAGATGATTAGCTACTGAAATTTAGTAGCAGAAAGCCAAGTTAGTTAGTTGATGAATTATTGAGATAGGTAGGTAAGTACAGTATGAAATGAAGCGTTTGACGCGATTCAACAGTACCCCCATTTGCGTTTGACGCGTCTCGGTAGGTGGGAAGGTGGGATAGGTGGAAAGGTGGGGGCACTAAACTTAAATTTAATAATTGCCCAATTAGGTAAGTCGTTTATTGTTAAAGATCGATCCATCGTTGTGGTACCTTGCGGCTGACCAAGCTCCCCTGTACCTAGCTGTGGTTGCTAGGTCTATGTGGCTTGACTCTATTTTCGACTTCATCCCTTCACTTCAATTTAACCACAAAAAGCCTTGCCTTACCTTGCCTCCTTCATGTTGCCTTTTGCAAAGATATCAGCCATACTCGGGCATATCATGAAGTAAATAAACTCAATGGTCATTACATTCACACAGATTCCCTCATCATGTTCTCCATCTCGTCTACCTCATTGATATACTGTCCTGAGCCGTGGTGGCTTTGTTGACATCCAGATTATACATTCCCTAGTATACTCCCTAGTTATTCCCATCATGATTTTGCGATGGAAATAGAGACCAAGCTCATCCCTTGTTAATACTGTATTCAATTTATCTCTACTTCTTTCAGATCACTAAAGATGAATGTTGGCACGGTACAGACATTGTCTGCCTTGGTGATGGTAGAGCACAAAATATA